GAACAAAAGAGACAACGTGAACTAGAACTACAGAGACAGCGGGAGGAAGAACAAAAGAGACAACGTGAACTGGAGCTACAGAGACAGAGGGATGAGGAAGCAAAGAGACAAAGTGAACTGGAGATCCAAAGACAATGGCAGGAAGAACAGAAGCAATGTGAACAGGAGGCACAAAGGCAACAGGAGGAAAAGAAGAGACAATATGAACAAGAAGAACAAAGGCATAAAGATTGTACGATACAGAAAGTCAAAGATCCAAAAGAAGAAAAGAGACATCAAGAAATAGAACAGAATGACAATTTGATCCAGCAGGGATGGAAAGATAAAAGGGAAGAACCAGAAAAGGAAAAGGCTGAGAGAGAAAAAATAAGCCATCAGTATTTTGAAAAGCAGAAGATGAAAGAGCTTAAAACAGTTCAAACTGAAAAGCTGTCTGAACTGAACCAACAACTACTTCCGGAGCAAAAAAGAGAAATACGACAGAGAAAGAAAGAGCAAGAAAGCAGCAAAAATTTAGATGATAGAAACAAACTGCAAGAGAAGAGAACGGCTATGAAACTGAAGGGACAAGAAGAGCAACAGCAAAATCTGAATGAAAAACAATTTAGTACTAATGAACGAAAGCAGGAAAAATCTGCAAAACTGGTTGGATCAACAGAACATCATAAAACAGCAGAAATAGGGCATGTGTGGGCTGAAAAGGAGATGCAGCAGGAGGAATTTATCCAGAGGATAGAGGAGCCACAATTGGAAAGACACAAAATCCTCTGTTTAGAAGATCAGCTGTCACTGGAAAAGCCAAAAGAAGAGAAGAAATCCCACCAGTTACACATGAATAAGCATTCAGAAGATAAACATTTGGAAACTGTTGAAAAAGAGCTCCAACGTCAAGACGAACCAGGACAGCAACAGAGAACTCAGCTAGGCAAAGAACAGAAGGAAGAAGGTGGTCTAAGAGTTCATCAGGCGATGAATGTTGAAGTTGAGGAACAGGAAAGAGTTCTTGGCGAAGAATTACGTTGGCAGGAAGTTGATGCCCGGCAAACGATGTCCAGAGGCTTCACCTTTCAAGTGTCTTCTGGAGAAAAAGAAATTATATTTCCCAAAGTGAATTTGAGTCCAGTTACACCTGTGAAAGAGGCTCCACTTCCTCCTGCCACAAAAGAATTTAAAGACCCCCCTAAGTCTAGTCGAGGTCTTCCAACTTCTTCATGTGTTCCACATACAGCAATCTTGGTAACTGGAGCACAACTCTGTGGCACTGCAGTAAATCTCAACCAGATAAAAGACACGGCCTGCAAATCTTTGCTTGGTTTAACAGAAGAAAAGAAAGCGATGGAGGCGCCTGAGCCCGAAAACCTCCAGAAAGCTGTTGACGGCAGGCCGCACAGCACTAAAGTGAAGCACGTTCAAGATTCCGTGGACAACCAAGCCATACTGGATGAATGGGCTTCAATTCGTTCAAAAATCTTAAAAGGTGCGGAAAATGACAAATTCAGTGAAAAAGACAGTGGAAGTCTTAATAGGCATAGTGATGATTGGACAGCTAAAGATCGAAGTCCTTCCCATGGTAACTTACGAAAGACTTTGTCTGTAAATGCAAAGTTTTCTATAACTCCCGCATGGCAGAAGTTTTCAGAAATGTCCAAAACCAACGCAACTGCAGAGAATAAAACTGTTCCTGAAGCAGAAAGTGCAGCAATGCAGCCGAGTCCGTCCACTCTGCATTCAGACAATGAGGCCGTCCAAATAGAGTCCCTGGCTGGGACAAAGAATGTAGGAACGTCACCTGGGAAAATCAGAGGGCGACAGGAAGTAGCAGGGAATACGGAGGGATGTAAGTTTGCCAAAGATCTCCCATCTTTTCTTGTTCCAAGTCTCCCATGTTCTCCAAATAAAGAACTCTCCCCATCCGAAACTTCGTCAGCCACGGAAACCCAACCCAGCAACGTTGGCTCAAAAAAATTGGACCGAGCTTCCCCAGGCGGAGAAGAAAATGTCTCCCCGTTTGGAGTGAAGTTAAGGAGGACCAATTACTCTTTGCGTTTTCACTACGACCAGCAAGCGGAGCAGAAGAAGAAGAAACGATACAGTGCAGGAGATAGTTTTGACGGCTTGCCAACTCCACTTACCCCAGACAATGAACAAGATGCAAAACCTTTATTTTTAAAAGATGTCAAATCTCCGAGTCAAGACAGGAAAGATGCAAGGCTTAATTCTGATAACACCACATTAACTATTATTAGTCGCAGTTACACCATAGTTGCACCGATATCTTCTCCTACTGGACCTATGTCTGCACCTGGTCAAGAAAAATCTGCTTCTAAATCACCCCTACCACCAAAACCTGCACTGGCTCCGAAGCCCATCAGCCAAACACCACCTCCATCTCCTCTCACAAAACCCCGTAGATCTCACTTCACTGAGCCCATCGGGAAAAGGGTATCTAAAATGGAACCTGACATCAGCTGGAGAAAAAGTGAAGGTAAAGGGAGTCCTCAGCCCTCCCAAACACCCGGTGAAAGCAAGAATGAGGAGGAAGAATCGAGAGAGAAGAAATCGTTTTTTCCATCCATCACCATGCCCTGGAGAGAGAAAGTGGAGAAAAAGCCAGAGCCATTGAAAAAAGGTAAATAAAAGGCAACTCTTAAGCACAACTTCCTCATGAAAAAGCTACCTTTGATTAGGAAGGTTAATAGGGAAGGTGGACAAAGTAACATTAAATTAAAAATTAAGAGGACATTCATCCTCAGTCAATGGATTTGGTGCCAGGTGCTTTAAGGTGCTTCTAGACCGGTAATGACAACCCTTTTTGTTATGGTGTGCTGAAAGCGTGTGCACAATAGCGCGCATGCATGCGCCGGCACCCACAATACAATGCGCCCCACCCCCCCTTACCTGCACTGTGCATGTGTGCGCCTCCCAGCTGATTTTTGGTCCATTTGAGGCTGTTTTTGCCCTCCTGGCGGCTCAAGGGAAGCCTTTGTAGCCTTGGGAGGCCAAAAAACGGCCCCGTTTGGGCACTTCCGGTATTTCCAGAAGGCCTGTTTTTCAGCCTCCCAAGGCTGCAGAGTCTTCCCTCGAGCCTCCGGGAAGACAAAAAAAGTCTCAAACGGGCTGAAAATCAGTTGGGATCTGTGCGCATGCGCAGTGTAGGTAAGTTTGGCTGGGGCTCGCGTGCCCGCACAAATGGCTCCGCGTGCCACCTGTGGCACGGCATGCCACAGGTTCGTCATCACAGCTCTGTAGACACTCTTCTTTTCCTACATACAAAAGCTGAAGTTTGTACAGGTGCCCGAGGTTAGCATATGAACTGGAAGTAGACCTATAGCACTAGCAATAGCACTTAGACTTATATACCGCTTCACAGTGCTTTACAGCCCTCTCTAAGCAGTTTTACAGAGTCAGCCTATTGCCCCCAACAATCTGGGTCCTCATTTTACGCATCTCAGAAGGTTGGAAGGCTGAGTCAACCTTGAGTCGGTCAGAATTGAACTGCCAAACTGCTGGCAGCCGCAAGTCCGCAGAAGTAGTTTGCAGTATTGAATTCTAACCACTGTGCTACTATACCTGACTAACTTGCAGTTGACCTGATGACAGCAGTCTTTCCTGAATACTGAAAATACTGTGGTACTCACATCATTTTAAATACAGACCAAGGCGCCCCCCCCGTTTTTTGTAAATTTTATTTGAGTTTTCACAAAGAGAAAAAAAATACAAATAAAACATATTTTTTGAAAGTAGCATAATCCCAGGTTACATTTCTTCATACAGACACAAATTCAAGTTCATGCTCATTTTTATATTCTATTCCATATCTTGTTACTATTTTACATTTTCTGCATAGCTTCTCCCCTCTTTTAATTTTCTCAATTTTATTTTAATTATCTCATCTCAATTCAAATCAGTATATTTATATTTTTTTGTCTGTCCTGTTTCAATTATCTATTATCTTCTCTCATTAAACAAAATTTCTCCTGTAGTTACTGATTGGACGCTTTTATCTCTTTTAAGTTTATCCATTTAACTCTTATTTAGGCTTCAATATATACCCTAAAGTTATAATATTCAATGTAATACGTAACTTCCATTCGGATTCTGCTTGGTACATTCTTAAAATACACACTATATTCTTAAAAAAAGAAAAAATTATAAATATATGTAATTAAAACAACACATTCCATTCCAATTCAATTCTATCATTAATATTAATATTCATTAAAGTCTTAACTTCTTTAACATTACTTTTCAATTAAATATCATACTTCTATGGGAACAATTATAAGCTTTCCATAATTAATTCCCCCCCTCTTCACTTATATTTTATAAAACATTAACTAATTAAAATGTTCCCATTCCTTCCTAATTCAATTTTCTCATTTATTTTATTTCACTTATTTTATTAACAAACATTTCACTAAATTACACTATTTTATCCCTCATTTTAATCATACATTGTTTCCAATTTTCTAAAGTTATTTCTATTACTAATATAACAATATAATCTTATGTACCTTTACAGAATCCCTTTTTCAGTTAGATTTTCACCCATTATCTCTAAATAGGTCCTGTTTCTCTATATCTTGCTCCGGTCCTTTGTAACTTCTTTTCCTTTCCTTCTTCCCTCTCTTCTTCTCTCTCCCCTTTTTACACCCTTGTCTCTCTACCTCTATTTCTCTCTTCTGTATTCCCCTTTTCTGTTGCTTTCCAGTATTATACTTATTTTTCGAATTATTTTTCTTTTCTTTGGTTGTTTTTTTAAGTCTTAAATTCTTCATTCTCTTTCCCCGCTTTCCTTTTTCTTCCCCACATAAAATTACTTGTTCATTAAAGATAGCTTCTTCTTTGTCCCAGTCTTCTAGTTTTGCAGACGTTTCTTGTTGTTTCTCATAGTTCCAAATCTCCATTTCTAAGAATTGAAAAACGAAGTCAAAAGAACTCTTCCCTTCTTGTGCATCTTCTTTGTACTTTTTAAGTTCCATTTTCAATTCATCCAGAAGGGGTGCCATTGTATAAATTTTTAAGCAACCACCTGATTAATTTTAGTCATTCAAATGTAATAACCAAGAATCCAAAGATCACCAAATAATCCAAATACACACAAGCTGTTTCTTTTTGCTCTTTTTTTTCATTTTCTCTTCTTGGGGTTACTGTTTAGTTACAAAGTTTCAGTTAAAATGTATCTTTTAGATGTCTTACTGAAGTTTTACTGTAGATTCTTTTTAATTCCAGGCAGTTTCCTCCCTCTTCCAGATCCTGCCCTTATTCTTTTTCTCTCCCTTCCCGCTTATGAAAAAAAAATCTTTATTATCCCTTTGACATTTTGTTTTATTTTCAGCTTAATTGCCTATTGATGTCAAAGTGGATTTTTCGGATTTCTTATTTAAGTCTCTTAGTTGTCAGTATAGGGAAGGAGAGAGAAGAAGAAAAAAAAACAAACCTTTCCCTTTTCACTTTCCTTCACTGCTTCCAACTGTTATTTTTTTGTAAGTTTAAATTCCAGGGTACCTTAGTTGTTGCTTTTACAATTTTGCAGCCAAAACTTTCACTTCTTATCTTCCTCCTGCAGATTCTTTTCTGGTTGAGGTCTTCTTTGTGGTGGCCATTTCTGACCACCGCTGCAACCGCCTTCGGGAAAGGGAGTAATGGCCAGCTGAGGAGGAGAGATGCGGCTCTCCTCGACCCTGCTGGCGGTCTCCCCCATCTCTATGGGGTGGCTTAGCCCCGATACCAGCCAGCTCGGGGCACTCCAGTGGCAAGCCCAGACCGAAACCATGCACGATCACGGATTTCTGTCTGTCGTCTTCAAACCGGAAGCCCCGAGGCGCCCTTTTCAACCAAAATGGAACAATTTGCTGTGGCCAACTTGCTGCAGCCATCTTGCCATGGCCATCTCACGGCAGCCATCTTGCTGCAGCCAACTCACTGCAGGACAACTAGCAATGGCCAACTTGCTGAGGGACAGTTCTACATGGGACCACTCAACATGATAAATATTATCTGCCACTGTTTTATTGTCATTATTTCCATTGACAAAATTGGAATAATGTAGAAGAAATAGTGGTGGATAATATTTATTGAGTGGTGGATCCCATGGCAAGTTGTCCCCCTGGTGAGTTGTCCTAAATCCCTTTTCAATAGGTAGGTGTCAAAAACTGTTTACATGTAGGCAGTTTGATACCACTGTGATGTCTGTCAATCAACTCTTAGAGATCAGGAGAAATCACAAACCAAAATATGGATCAAACATGAATAAAATTGGATGCCTCTGAAAAGTGGAGGATACATAAAGTCAGGGGTGGGATTCTACCAGTTTGCACCTATTCGCTAGAACCGGTTGTTAACGTTCTAAGCAGTTCAGAGACCCGGTTGTTAGAAGAAATTACTGGCCTAATCCTGCAAGGAAGGCAGGAAGGAAACATTCTGGTGTTGCTTACAGAAACTGCCTCTCTGTTAACCCTTAGTACATTCTTGGCAGGACTAGACTTCCTGTCTCAGGAACTTCTCTGGAGTTTTTTTCCCCTCCTTTGATGGTACTTTGCTTGTGTGAAGTGACCATGCAAAGTTACAATGGCACTGAAAAACATGACTTATGAGCATTTTTCACACTTACGACTATTGCAGCATCCCCACAGTCATGAGAGGTCAGGCGAGGAGATGCGTATCTCGACGTGAGTGATATTGAGTTGGCCACGCCCAGCCAATAACATGACCACCAAGCCACATCCACCAACTTAGCCACGCCCACAGAACAGGTTGTTAAAAAATTTGAATCCCACCCCTGCACAAAGTCCACCTGTACCCATCTGTGATGCCATAGAGTTTTATTTAGTCTTGAAAAAAAATACCTGAGAAAAGTGGCATATACTTAAAATAAGCCATGATTTTTTCGGAAGAATCAAGTCATTTTTATATGGTACATATATGCAGAGCTGCTGCATGGGGCAAACCTTTCTTCTTAACTTATCTGCCTTTATCCCTTTCTTTATATACAACAGCTTGTTTCTCTGAGAAAAGTCCTTGCCAGCGGAACTATTCTGATACTACACATTGTATTGCTTCTTCCTGCAACAGAGTGTAAGACTTTTCTGCAGATATTCTGCAATTAGATGTCTATATTCCAAGTTCTATGTGCCACCTCCAAGCTTAAAAATTTGCTCAGATAACCCAAAATAGCATGTCAAATGTATCCTAAATTAAACACCCACACTTTCTAGAAATAGATAGAAGTGTTGGAATTCACAGATGCTTACAGTTAAAACCCATTCTGACATTTTTAGGGAAGCCAAAGTTGGACTTGAGGGGGGTGCAAAGCTTGTTAATAAAGCTTTGAGAAAGTTGGCAACACTGACATATTTTCCAGATGTTTTTCAGAGGTGTATTAAGTTCCCACCAAAAATATGGGAATTTGAAGTACTCTTATTGGTGCCCCCACCTAACAAATATTTTCAGTTGAGGAAGAAACACTGTGCTGTAAGAAAGGATCTCTTTTCTGCCTTTTTTAAAGAAAAAAACAATCCATCATTTCATGGCCTAGAGCAGTGGTGGCTCCTGTGGCAAAAATTGTGTGTGCACTGGCGCTCACATGCCACCACCCAGAAGGCAATGCACGTCCCCCCCAAGCCCCCTGCGCATGCGTGTGCAATCCCCCCGCCACCCCTTACCTGCACTGTGCCTCACAGATGATTTTCAGCTGGTTTGAGGCCTTTTTCGTCCTCCCAGAGGCTTGAAAAAAGCCTCTGCAGGCCAAATAGGCCCATTCTGTCACTTCCGATAATGACGAAACGGGCCTATTTGGCCTGCAGAGGCTTTTTTCCAGCCTCTGGAAGGCGGAAATAGGCCTCAAACCAGCTGAAAATCAGCTGTGAGGCACGCGCATGCACCGTGAGGTAAGTTTGCCTGCGGCTTGCGTGCCGGCACAAATGGCTGTACGTGCCACCTGTGGCACGTGTGTCATAGGTTCGCCATCCCAGGCCTAGAGAAAGATAATGAATTTTAGAACTTAGCAGGAAAGGAAATGTTTCATGAAAGACACAGGGCATACTGTGGGAGCAAATGTTTCTAGCGGGTTTGTTTTATAGTTTGAGAACAATATGCTAGAAGGATATAAGCCTATACAGACTTTGAAAACAGACCATTTCAAAGTTGTCTAAACCACAGGCCAGTTTTAAAAAAAAAAACCTGAGAAATGGGCACACTTTTAAAAATATTAAAACCTATCGATCGCACATAGGCAGAATGAAATAAATTAGACACATGTAGAACATCCAAGGGGAGACGACCATCAAAAATGTCTGAAAATATATAGGTGCAGTGGCTTCTTTGAGGTGAATTTGTAACAGCAGCTGAGCTGGGAGAAGTTTCAAGCAAGAGATTGCACACCACAGGTCTCTTGGATGTCTTCCTCTGGACCTCTTCTATTTCTATCAGTACCTGTTCTGTTCTAGGCTTCTCCAACAGCACAAAGCCGAGTCCTTGTCCCGATAAACCCCTTTTATTTGATTTACAATGAATTTCTTCTCCAACAAAGTCCCGGCCAACAGTCTTTCAAGATAGTTCCCAATTACAGACCTTTATCAGGCTTGGAGAGGAGCCAGGGTGACATTTATTTATTTGATTTGTCTCCTGCAAACACCACTCCCCTTTCACTCCTCTTTATCCCCGCTGGGAGGGGCCATTCACCATCCGCCTGAGCCTTTACTCCCAAGTCGACCCTTGCTCCTTAACTGTTCCCTTCTCCTGGCAGCTCTGCCGGTGCACACACTGGGAACAGGCTCCAGCTGTTCTTCTGCCTCACTGATCTCTGACTCTGAAGGCAGCTGATAACTGTCGGACGGCCCTGACCCCATCTCTGCCTCCCACGCAGAGCCCTCGTCCGAGCCTTCCCCAGTTTCCAGGACTGGCCCGTGTTCTTCCCCAACCTCCTCACTGTCTGAATCTGCTGCCAGTTCCGCTGGCCCCTGCCGGGCCATGACCGCACCAACATCCTAACCATGGACTATTCTTGTGCTCTGTTCCTTTATTCCAGAAAGGCCAGTTCTTCAGAGCAGGCATTCCATCGACGGTTCAAAAGTGATGGAGAAAGGGGAAACCGCGCAGCCTCTGTGGATCACTTTGGCATTGCAAAAACAGAAGGGCTTTCGGGAGCAGCAAGCAACCCGCGAGGAAAGGAGGCAAGCCAGAGAAGCCAAGCAGGCTGAGAAATTGGCTAAAGAAAATGTAAGCCTCTCAACAGAGAGAAAAAAGAAGGCGGGGGATGTGTGGAAGAGTATATTGTTTGGGGCACCTGGTATCTTCTGCTAGAAAGGCCAATGAATCTGGTCAGGAGAAACAGAAGCACTGTTAATTTTTTTATTATAACAAAAGAGGTGTACAACTAAGGCCCTTGTATGACTTGTGAACTTCAATTCCCAGAATACCGGAGCCAGGTGTTTTCAATTGAATTGAAGTCCACAGGTCATAAAAGAGCCATAATTCCCCATCCCCTGTAATAAATGACTAAACTCAAGTAAAGCTCTGGGTCTAGAAACAGGAAAAGCTAACAATCCTACTTTGGGAAGAAGATGGCTTAGACCAGGGGTGTCAAACTCAAGGCCTGTGGCTCGCATCCGGCCCGCAGGGTGCTTAGATCTGGCCTGCAGGACTGGCCTGGAAATAGAAAAGGACCGGCCAATGGTATGTGATGACCTGGGGTGTGGCACAAAGGCAACAAAGTCAGATAAGCAATAAGAGTCCCTTTATTATCTCCAGCTTTGCCCCCAGTGTCTGGGTTACTTTGTGGCTGGAGAAAAACTCTTCCAGGAACAGCCTTTTGACTGCAGAAAATTAAGTCCAAAACATGGTCAACTAAAACTGTAACTTAAAGTCCAAACAAGCTAAACTGAAGGAATCAGTTTGGCAGGGCAGGAGCAAGAATTTCAGACTTGAAGGCACGGCAAAACTCACACAGTTGGGAAGACGCCAGATAAGCAAAGACAAGACAGAATAAAGTCAAGTTTGCTCCCAGCAGCCTGCCACATGCAGCCTGCCTTTCTTATCGACTGTTTTTCCATCTGTGGCTAATGAAGGGAATCAGAACCCTTTCCTCCCCCGTAAGCCATGCAACACACATTGCTCTCTTCTTCGTTCCTCCCTGCGTGCCCTATGGATGAACAGGGGGTGGGCCTGGTTCTTGGTTCTTCCTCTGAACTCCCTCTCCCTTGTTCTACCTCTCCCCTGCTCTGCCCAGCCTGACTTTGCCCACACTCCCACTCCCTGCCAGCTGTCCCGCTTCCTCCTTGGATTCAGATTCTGACAGTACCTCTGCTAGCGAAAATGGGACATCGGGGGGGGGGGCATCCGCGGTCCCCTGCACCGCATTTTGGCCGTCAGGGTGCTGCTGGAGGCATCCATTCTGCTTATCGTCCATCCTGTCTCCCCTGTCCCCTCGCCCCGGCTGGCCCACAGAGGACAGCTACAATGCTGATCTGGCCCTCCAAGAAATCCAGTTTGACACCCCTGGCTTAGACAGATGGGGAGGCAACCCTCTTCATCTCACATTTACCTCTTTAAAATGGTTGCCACCTGCTGCCAAACCTTGTAGGCTCACTGCAGCTTACAGTGCAAATGGAAAGAGCTTCCACAATCTAACCAAAAAAAAAAAAAAAGCAAAGGAACAACATAACAAAAATAAAAACACATTCCTTGTAACACTAAAGATAGAAAATCAAAGTCAAAACCATTGCACTGTACTTCAAAGCCTGTTCAGCTGGGAAGCCAAGGAAACGGCCTTGGGTGAGATATTCTGCAACGGAAACAAAGCGTTCAGACGCAGCAGGCCTTGAACTCCTGGGGAAAGGAGAAAGGAGGAGGAAGATACTCCGACTGGCTCCCTTTGATTGTCTGGGGAGGGAGAGAGAAGGGGGGGGCGGGGAACCAAGATTCTGTTATTGTCTATTTTCTGATCTGGACAACCTCATGGAGCTGACAATTGATGCAGAACCTGCCAGATATTTTAGATGCAATTTACTTCGAGCGATTAATGTCAGTCAGCAAGCAAATTGCAAATGGGACCAAATGCAGTTTAGCTGTGGCCTTCAAAGGGCATCATCATTATTATTAATAATTTATTCCATTGATTGTCTTTATGAAATGAATATATTGATAAAGATGTACCATAGGAAGAACAAGATGCCCATACAGACACATTGCACATAAACATTCTCGGTATTTTAAATGGATGCCACTTGAGCTATAGCACCTGGAAGGCAGCAGGCATTTACAAATGCTTTCTAACTAGTCCTTATATATAACAACTGAATGAAAAACTGCTGGTGACCTTCTACCGCTGCACCATAGAGAGTATCTTAACTTACTGCACCTCTGTATGGTTTGCCAATTGCACAGTGGCAGATAGGACAGCACTCCCAGAGGGTTAAGGTCATGGGTTGCCCTCTCCCCTCTTGGAAGAGCTTTATAGCTCCTGCTGCCTTAAGGAAGTTGTAAACATTCTCAAATATCTCATCCTGGGCACTTTTTTTTTGAACTATTACCATCTGGCAGACAGTACAGAATAATAAAACAAGGACAAATAGGCTGAAAAACAGCTTCTATCCCAAGGCAGTAGCTCTTTTGAATTCTGCTATATATAGTGCAGTGTCGGGATTTTTTGGTTCAATGTGTGGAGGGTAAAGGATATGTGTGTTTATTTTTATGGTCATGATTTGCACTGAAGATGGTGTTTGATTTCGTTGCACGAGGTACAGTGACAATAAAGTAAACTAAACGAAACTTTGTCCATGCTTCGTACTCTTGAAGTCAACATCTATGAGTGTGCACTATAAACATGTTAATATTTAGCACATTTTTAACCTGTTGCTTTTTTTTTATATTAGGCCAGCATAAACAACCAGGCAGATAATAAAAGCAATAATGTGAGCAGGTCAAATGTACTGCAAAAATCCACTGGTCCAGAAGAGGAGAAAAAAATGGAGACGGCTAGGTCAAGATTTGAACGTAGAGAACAGCTCAAAAAATCGAATACCCTGCCTTCATCCGTCACAGGTATGATTTACATTTTGGGTCTCAATCGTGATTGCAATTTTATTTTTTTATTATTTTATCAAGTTTTTTTATTTTATTCTACATATACACATCAATACATAAACAGTGTGGCACCTAAGCATCATGCATTTTGGTGCAAACAAAAATGACAACATTCATCAAATTTCTTACCTTCATCAAACTTATATAATTCTAATGTTAATAAGTTCTGTCCTAAGCCCTTTTCCAACAAATCAAACACAATCCAAAAGGAACAGAAACCTTGTAATGCTTTTACAAAATAATTAGCTGTGATAAGCACAAGCCCTGCCAAACTGCGAGGCTTGCCAAAAGATAAGAGGCAAGAAATAATTTGCAAAATAAGAATCTTCAAATACAAGCTCAGGATACTGGAATGTCCACGAGGCTGGAGTTTCAAAACGTCTTTGCCTTCTTCAAAGTACATTCCTTTCACAGCTGGCTTTTATCTTCTTGAAGGAGGGGCCATTACCTTGCAGCATTACTCCCGAGTTGCCCATGCTGTTGTAGCTGCTCTTTCTTACGAGCAATCCTGCGCGCACGTGCACTTGGCACAGGCTCCTCGGGAAACTCCTCATCGCTGCTGCCAGCCCCCACAATCTCTGAAGGCAGCAGTCCACTCCCTGATGGTCCTGGCCCCTCATCTGAGTCCTCGCTCTCCTCAGCCATCCGCACCTGCTGCCGGCTAACCACAACACACTGACCCAAAGGTGATTTCTTTCAAGTGGCAACTAGATGTTCTTGTTTTGCTTGAAGACTTTTCACTTCTCGTTCAAGAACATCCTCCGTTCTGACTGAATGGGCGAGAAGGGAAGGATTCATGTTCTTTGCAGTCCTCTGGTCATTAGCATTCTCTCTGAGAGTCGCCGAAGCTCCGTGGAGGTTTGTCTGTATGCCCTCAGAGTCACCTGAACCCTGAAAGCAATATTTTTTCCTGGAAACCCATTCATACTCCTGCACTATTTGAAGTTTTCATTCCAAAGTGCCTAGCTAAATTTAGGGGTGGGCTGCTGGAGGTTCGCAGGGGGAGCCCCTGGCTAAGATTCTGTGCAGTTTGGAGAACCCCCAAATTCCACTCGGGGCTGGCCCCGCCCTCCCCAAGCCCCTCCCCTCCCCAGAGTCCCCACTTTGGATGCGAGGTAAGTGCAGGGTGCACACGGAGGCTTGGGGAGGGCGAAAAACGGGCCTCCCGGAAGTTCAGGAAGGCTGGAAATGGACCCGTTTCCAGCTTCCAGACAGCCTCCGGAGCCTGGGGAGGCCATTTTCCCCCTCCCAGAGGCTCGACGAAAGCCTCTAGAGCCCGGGGGGGGGCATTTTTGCAGGAGTGCAGGAGGCTGACTAGGCCAGCCCACCATGGCCACGCCCACCCAGCAACCAGGCAGAGAACCCGTGGCTAAAATTTTTGAAGCCCACCCCTGGCTATGGAGATTTTCAATCACCCGGGTCAGATTGGAAGCCAATTCCAAGTCCAAACGTGCTTTTCTCAATTGATAAGGATAGCCTGGATAGATGCTGACGATGGTTAAGCAATGATAAGCTATGATAGTAAGCAGTTGATGTGGCAATATAATGAATAGGTTGTCCCATGAAGATCATTGAAGCCATTGTCTCTAGATTATTCCCTTTCCTAATTAAGGCTTCTTTTACATAGTTCTTAAATGCTGCCATTCAGGCTTAAAAGCTGATTCGTTGATTTTAAAAAAAACAAAACCCAGCAGTAGCTTTGGAGGATAAAGGCAAGAGGGAGTGAACTAATTTTTATTTCATGGAAAGGCAGCACGCAAAGGGAGGCGTCCACAAAATTGCATGCACATCATGTAATTTATTGTTGCTCTGCTAGTAACATAAAATAACATTAAATGATGGAGCTCATTCACCTGAAAGAGCCATATTCCTCTGAATAAATTATTGTTGTGGAGGATATAAATTAAGCACCATAATCTATCCTTAGTCTATAAACTTCTCTTTCGAAAGGCAATCTTCTAAATATCAAATTCAAAAATACTTTGGATGGCATCCAGAGAAAGGCAGTAGCTGAGCAGTAGTTAAGATCCTCTACATACATTTTGGTACCATGCCTGAGATAGTATCCGTGATTTTATTTACTTCTCTCCAAATCAGATGAATTGTTGGTTCAGATGAATTGTAGGTTGTCCTCAACTTATGACCACAACTCAGCCCAAAATTTCTGTTGCTAAATGAAATAGATGTTAAGTAAGTTTTGAGACACTGGAGTTGTTAAGTTAGTTACATGGTCTGTTAAATGAATCTGGTTTTCCCATTTACTTTGCGTGTCAAAAAGGTCACCAAAAATGATCACATGACCCCAGGACACTGCAACGGTCATAAATAGGAGTCAGTTGCCAAGCATCTGAATTTTGATCATATGCCCATGGTTGCTAAGTGTGAAAAATGGTTATAAGTCACTTTTTTTTTCCGGTGCTGTTGTAACTTCGAATGGTCATGAAACGAATTACCTGGGAAAGGAAAGAGGAATTCTGTATTCTGTGCAATCATGAATCAATCTGCGCCTGGAGCCTCTGATTTTGACAAGAATTTAGGGTGATACCAGAGGTGGGCATTCAACAGGTTCTGACCAGTTCTGGAGAACCAGTAGTGGAAATTTTGAGTAGTTCGCAGAACCGGCAAATACCGCCTCTGACTGGCCCCGCCCCCATCTATTCTCTGCCTCCCGAATCCCAGCTGATTGGCTAGGTCTTCTTTTGTTGCCCTGCACAGGAGAACAGAGCTGGAAAGCAGGTTAGTGGGTGGGGAGGGGATGGAGATTTTGCAGCAACCTTCCCCTGCCACGCCCACCAAGCCACGCCCACAGAACCAGTAGTTAAAAAAAATTGGAATCCCACCAGTGGGTGATACCTCTTTAATCAATGAATAGATTTAGTGCCTGTTGCCATTAAAGTGGGAAGAATCTTGAATGCAATTTTTCCGAGGCTCCTGTGGGTAGAGAAAAAGGGGAAGTCATGTAATATGAGCCTAGCCTCAATCCTATTCTTCACTCATCTCCACCATCGTGGCCACAAATACAAAACGGGGATAATGTCATGATGTCACTGCATTCATTTGAATCCTTTTTTTAATCTGGATTTATCCGACTATCTCTATGGATGCTATGAAATTCACTCATTAGACCACAGCATTGCATTCTTCCTCTTCCTTGAACGCTAACTTCATTTTAAATGAATGGAGAAGAAATGAAAGGCAACCTCTTGGTGGAAAATTGACTGCTGTTTTGCCCAAGCAGTAAAAGACTCCATTATTAATAATATTAGCCAGCAAATTCTTTTTAAAAAAATCGTCTATTTGCTTCTTTCCTTTCTATTAATCCTTGATGAAATTATAAAGGAACGAGCTAATTTTCAGCTTTGTGTTATCACATGCCAAAAAAGGACACATGAGAAACTAATTTTGATTTCTATGCAGGCAAGTATTTTTAATAGGTGTTCTGGTTGCCAGTTGCTTTAAGAGGCAGTCTTGTGCCATATCCCAAAACCAAGAATGTGTTATAGATAGGCAGACCTTGCAGCTTGGGAAATCTGCCCATCTCTGACTCATTTTTGGTTTGGGGGGTATTTGCTGGCTTAACTTTATTTTTTTTTCTTTGCCAAGTAATATGTGGCCTTTAAGAAGTAAGGTCCATGTTTAGGCTACTGTGTGGAAGTCTATCCCTGTCGCCCAACAGAGAGAGAGAGAGAAGGAGAAGCAAGGAAGATCAAAAAAGCAGTAATAGTTTTTTTTAAAAATCCAGCAAAAATACCACTTAATTTAAGTTGCTTCTGCCTTTCAAGGTTCTAATAATCTCTTATCAGCGTGGGAAGGAGAGCTGCGCTTCAGATAATTTTTATTATTCTGCAGAGCACCTGTGCTTCTGTCTACTGGATGATGCAAAACAACTCCCAAAGGCAGATTTTTATGATCCTTGTTCTTGGCTCCTTTGCTCCCCCTAACGAAATGCCCCAGGGCTCTGCTCCAGGGAAGGCAGGCAGTAACCTAACAGATTTCTGCAACGGTGCAGTTAACAGTTTCCCCTTTTCCTCGTTCTCTCTCTCACAGTGGAGATCACCGATTCCCTTTCCTCGTCGCCTTTGGCTAAAGAAGTCACCAAGAGATTCTCTACGCCGGATGCTAACCCCGTCTCAACCGAACCTGCTTGGCTGGCCTTAGCCAAGAGAAAAGCGAAAGCTTGGAGCGACTGTCCTCAGATCATCAAGTAAATAGATCTAGCTTTGGTGTTTTACTCTGGTTGGAGAGCCCTTTCCTTTTTTAAAAAATTCGTATTCTCACATTGGCAAATGCTCCTGAATAACATTTTAAGGGCGAACTCCGACCAACAAGAGACATTGAACTGTTGATCAATGTTCAAGCAGGTATTTTGAGTTTCAGGCCACTTTAAGAATCACTGCTTCAGTGTTGTTGAATGTCAGCTTCCCGTATAAACCTATTATTTTACTTGGGACGTTTTTTACAAATGCCACTCAGGTACAGGAATAAGAAAGATCTGCTTCTGCCATAGTTACGAGATAACTTTGAATGATTTGCTTCTGATCTGGCAAGGATGACTCCAGAAAATAATGAAATAGAATTTGGGAATAATGAAAGCACCATATTTTTTTTTATTCTAAAGAGATTTTCCTGAGGTTTTTAGTTTTGAACATTAGTCACGCTTCTCAAATGTATTTAATGATTCAGTAATTAACACACTCAAGTTATGTTACACCGAAGATTTCCTTCTTGTATTTATTTCTCTAAATGATTCTCCAAGCCATCAACAGCCTGCATGCAAATTGCATTATTATATTTTAATTTCCCTCGTACCCTGAAATATATTCATGCAACAATTATATTTTTACTTATTTACTTATATATCTGCATAAACTCAAGATATCTTGTCTCTCCTCTATTTTATCCTCACACCCCTGTACAATAAGAACATACTGAATAAGTAGCTCAATTGTATTTGGAGAGAACTGTATCATGATTTTCAGTCTTGTTATAAAAGGTAACTAGAAAACAGAAAAACAAAACAAAAACATACCCCAGTACTAACAACAAAAAAGAGAAAAATTGGTGTACAAAGAGAAAAAATATAGTTTAAAAAAAAAAAGGATTTTCCAGTCTCAAATCTATTGCTCCTGTTGTGCAAGAAATAATTTTATGCAATATCTTTAAGTGACCGGTATAGTATACCTGCAAGGTGTGGTTAAAAAAATATGTCCAGGTTGCAGCTACAATTGTTACTCATAAACAATGAGTGGCGCTTCAGTGACACCATCTTGGCTTTTTCACCATATTAGTCATATTATCTAAAGGAGGCTAATCCAGCCATCTTCAGTTTATCTTTTAGATGTGTTGAGTCTCAACATCTGGAGAGCAGCAGCCAACAGAGTGGAAAATCTAGCCCCTTTACGCTTCATGTACGTTGGGGATCTTCATTCTGTTCACCAAACTTCATTAGCAATTTCTTCTTCCACATCTGTGCCATGCTACTGCGTGCATATTACCTTTGCAAACTATGAGCAGAGTGTTTCTGTTAATGATATTAGGTGAAAGTGTAGCTATTGTGTTAATAGATATTACTTTTTGTCCTGGAATTAGATCTGATTCAAGATGATGAAATTGGTTTAACGAGGGAAACTGAATTGGGACTGCCAAATTCCAGCCAGCAGGACAGCAACAAAGACAGCAACAACTCTCCTAAATCTTTGCTGTTTTATAGATTTGCAGCTGAGCTACGAAAGCCTTTGATTTGAAAAGCTAATCGTAAGGAAAATGTGATCTTTTTCCCCCTGAGTATTGATGCCCTTTTAAAATTGGTATTCCTAAATTATCAGTCAGTTATATTTTCTAGTTAGACATGTAAATATGCAAAAATAATGTTGTGTTGTACTAAACATCAGATTGCTGGATATAAAAAATGGTTGAAACAAAATTTGAATGCAGAATTTCTATTTCTCTTCCTTGTAACATCAGTTTAGAATGAAATCACTTTTAAGACAGAGAAGTGCAGCCTACCATTCATTACATTCTCATTCGAAAATCCCACCTCAAAAACAACGAAAACCCACCCATACACACACTATGTACCTGGAGTCAGGAAAAACCCTAATTCAAGGAGCAGTGCAAAAATTGCAATTTTGGTCCAAGACAACCAAACAGATGCAGTTACGGAATAAGCATAAAAGCGCCGGAGAAAATGTTTGTTGTGTTTAGGGAGAAGCACAAAGATGCTAAGTTTAATAGCTGAGCAACTGTCCCAAAGAAAGTTAATTCTTGTAGCCATTGTCACTTTGGTCTTTTAAGTGAATTCAGGACATAAACCTCCTTCAAGACTCAATCTTAAATGAGATCAGGAATGCCTATTAGAAATACAGCTGAAAGGATGAAGTTAGGATGTCCTAGTGACTCAGTAGATAGAGCCAAGGTGGGGGTTTGAAGAGTGAAAAATGACTTTTTTGCCACTCTCACAAAGAGTGAAGTGTTCATCATTTAAATTAATCCTTATTCACCCTTATAGCAACTAAACAATCTTCTTCCGTTCAAGAACAGTTTGCATTTCTTCTGGATTTCAGACTTCTTCTGGTGGGTGAATTCTGGCTCACCCACAATTTACTGATTTCATTATCATAGATAATGCAATCTTCGACGAGGTGATCCCAGGAACAGCTTCTACCGAATGTGTTACAAACAACATAGAGGAGAAACAGATGCAAATTTGGTAAAGTTGTGTTGTGACTAAGGTTAACACAATTCCCTACCCCGAAGGTGGCCGACATTTACAAGCATTTTAATGTGCATAGACTGGTGTCAACATGCTGTTGCAAAAAAAATAATAATCATCATCATAATTGTGTACAACTCTCTAATTTCCTCCAACTCAATTACACTTCTAGACTGGGGAAATAGACTTGGAGAAAAAGAGGAACGGGAAGGGGGGGGGAAATTGGTGAGGTGGACAGAGCCAAGCGCCACAAAATAAGGTAATTTTGCAGGGAAGTGGGTATCATTTTGCATGAGAAATATGGGGAAACAAAACTCCCCAAATAACTCTAGAGGTGGTTAATGCAGAGCTTATAGTCTTGTAAATAGTTCTATAGCAGTTTTTTCAAGCATGAGGATTCACAGTGAATGAAAACTATATACAGTCCAGGGAAGCAAAGCAAGAGTCAAGGGGCCATAGGAAGTTCTGCTGCTCTGTTCTCCCAATTTTACTCTGGTCTTTCAGGACCAGCCACCATCCCAACATATTCATTATCGACATTTATAGCCCTTAATTATCCTTCAGTGTTCAAAGACTCCTGGACAGCGATGGAGTGTTCTTTTCCTAACATTCTCTACCTAACAGGTGTGGTGAGACAACAGGTGAATTGCATTCGCTGCCGCTCCGCACGTACAGACACATTCCTGCAGGCCAAAAGTTGGCCCACCGTGCAACGGAGTTTTGTATTAACAGTCTCGATTTCTGCGTCAGTAATTGGATCAAAGCTGGGCTACATGAAATATTTTGTTTGTAAACGTTTCTAGAAGCCTGTTTTAAAAACATTGTCATTTCATATAAAGTCAACTTGAACTTTTGCACTAAATACCAATGAAGTGTTACTTTGCTTAAGCCTTTCTTAATAAACAAATAAACCTGGAGTAACTTCCAACACTTTAAAACTGATCAAACCTCTTTGCACAATTGTGGTCTCAATTTTATTTTATTTTTTTGTAACATACACTTTGGTCCTTACAGTTAAATCATATCCAAGCCTTGTTGGCATTAATGGAGCTTATATCAACTGCGACTGAATTATCCTATCCACTAACAGGTATTGGGCCATAACTTTTTCTAGATAAAGGAAACTATGACTTGAGGTTATGAACGATTAGCCTCAATTGTTCATACAGTGGTGTATAAAATTACAAACATGTATAATTGTGGATTTGGTTTTGTGTACTTTTTTAATTTTTCAAATGTTTTAAAGTGCAATTGTTTCTTACACTAATATCATTTTAATTCCAATTAAACTATAATAAGCTGAAAGTTTGGTAGGTTTATTTATTCAGAATCTTTTGTTAAATGTGTCTGGTTATCTTAAAACAAGAGCCTGAATTAATATATGAATAGAACTGTTTTTAGAATATTATACAACCAGGGCAAAATTAACAATGACTAAGGGTTATTATGTTAGTAGAATTTCTATTTTCAGCTTTTGATCGTCACAATTTTAATGTAAATGGTCCATCACTGAAAGCTTGTTCTATATAAATAAAAATAGCTGTGTTTCTATAGAAAATACTTTTTATTTACTTACTGATTCATTTAAAAAAAAAATCATAACGGTGGGAAAGACTTAAGTAAACTTTTAGGAAAGCCATTGATAATTAGTGGTGAGAGAAAACACATTTATTGCAACTATATGTGGCATTATTAAGCGCCCTTTAAAAGGTAGTCCTCAACTTACAACAATTCCTTGATTGATCGTTCAAAGTTGCAATGGCATGAAAAAAGTGATTTATGACCGTTTTTACAATTATGACCATTGCAGCGTCCCCAACGGTCATGTGATCAAAATTCAGATCCTTGGCAACTGACTCATATTTATGACGGCTGCTGGCTTTTGCAACCGGCAAAGTCAATGGGAAAACCAGATTCACTTAACAACCATGCTACTAACTTAACAACCTCAGAGATTCTCTTTAACAAGTGTGACAAGAAAGATGGTAAAATGGGACAAAATTCACTTTAAAAATGTTTCGCTTCTGACAGAAATGTTGGGCTCAGTTGTGGCCGTAAGTCGAGGACTACCTATACCCATGATGGCGAACCTATAACACGCGTGCCACAGGCAAATTTACCTCACTGCGCATGCGCACGCCTCACAGCTGATTTTTCTGCTGGTTTGAGGCCTTTTTCGGCCTCCCAGAGACTTGGAAAAAGGCTCTGCAGGCTTTGCAATCTGAATAGGCACATTTTGTCACTTCCCGTAATACCGGAAGTGACCAAAAGGGCATATTATTTGGCCTGAAAGGCCTTGCAGAGGCTTTTTCCAAGCCTCTAGGAGGCCGAAAAAGGCCTCAAACCAGCAGAAAAATCAGCTGTGAGGCGCAATGCAGATAAGGGGTGATGGGCGGGTGGGATTGTGCGTGCATGTGCAGGGGGCGTGGGGGGGGGCACACATTGCCCCTCCCCCCCTTTCTGTTGGCAACGATACAACGGGCATAGAAATGTTTTATGAGTTGACATTTAATTTTAAATTTGTAAATAAATAAATATCCACCAGTCTGGTTTTCCAGAAGAATCATATTCCATTTTGGATCTAATACTCAATACAGAGTGCTAACTTCCAGATTTATAGACGGTCTTGACACGGTATTTTAAAATGCTTTAAATCAAGTGTTAAATTAGTTTTCTTCCCCTACGTATTGGAGCAGAAAGTTCACACTAAGGCAAACATGTGGCTCTCAAGTAGAAAATTAAAAAGTCTAAAAAAAAAAAAAAGTTATCATGACAGAATTTTATTAGCTTTAGATAAACACAGATCTAAACAATAAAGGTAATTGTTTCTACATCCGACAACAATTGTCGATCCCCAGGCTACAGGAGAAGAGAAAACCTCCCCTGGAAGGTCTCCGCTACCTTCTGCCAGCCCAGTCTTAGCATTCAGGATCCATAGTCTGCCATCTGTGGACGTTGCCACCAGAAATGTTTTACTGTCCAACTGAGGACTACGGAAGACAAATGGAGTTGCATAAACTCTTGATGTAGTTTCAAACTTCCACAATACATTTCCTTCCCTGTTACAGCAATAAATAAAGCAGTCATGGGACCCAAAGAATACATCTCTGGAAAAAGGTGAAACGCAGGGTGATGAAAAGATTGGCCCACTGCTGGGAAATGCCCAAACCTGTAGGACAATAATAAAAAAATTAGACAGGTTATTGAAATTTCAGTTAGTGGGATAGAATCATTGTATTAATTGTTTATGGTGCATATACAAGCATTTGACTTTACGGCTTAGATATTTACAAACTATGTCAGAAAAGGGCTAATTCTTCCAATCAATTATATATCTCAATATAGAATATACGCGGGCAAATGCACTGCATTTTTGTATATTTTTTGCTTATCGAGAGGGCCTGCCAAACATACAATATAGCAAGTTGTTTCAGTTAAGAGTCAGAAATGATCCTACTGGGCATGCCAAACAAACTAGAACATTTTAAAAGGATATATTTCAATGAGTCACAACAAGTAATTTAGCAGAAGGAGAATTTTACCATTGTTCCCTGGGGAAAATACCAAGGTTATACCAGAAAATGAAGACAGCTTTGTGAGATGATTTTTGACAATCATTTCTCTAGGAGAGTTTTGCTCAATGCCTATTTCTCCAACAGCATTTTATACAACATCAATCATTGCATTGCAGGACTATCTACCACTGAACTAAAGTCAAAGGAAGGACTCTGAATTTAATCCTAACAATCAAAGCCAATTGCAACACTTTGCTAAGTGAGAAATTCTCAGGAACCCAAGCCTAGCGATTACGGTTGATTTCAAAAGAAAATTCCAACAAAATCAAGATGGTCAAATCTTTCCAGAATGACTGTTTAAAAAATCACACTAAAAAGAAGCTCAGATAGAATGACTGCATATCACCAAAACAAGCAGGTAGCAACAAGTTGGGTGCTCTGATGAACTAGTAACAAGTTTAAAAAAATTGAAACCAGACTCTAGATAAATAAATGAATGCTTCTTACATCCTTCATTACAGTCGGCAACAGATGGGGTCTGCTAAGCAGCTGTAAAAAATAGTGTGCTGGTTGAGAAATGATTTAGAGTTATAAACGATCTGGGCTGCAACCATATTTGCAAATAATATGAACTTATTGAAGAAGATGTGGGAAGTTGTGGGGGCTCCATCACTTGAGACTTTCAAGAAGAGATTGGACTGCCCTTTGTCAGAAATGGTGTAGGGTCTCTTGCTTGGGCGGAGGGCTGGACTAGATGACCTACAAGGTCCCTTCCAACTCTGTTAATCTGTATCTGTATTTAAGATAAAAAAATAAAACTAGATAGTCTTGGAAGAGCTATAGATTTCTTCAGAGCAGAGACTGAGATGACCATCCCTGACCTATTCAGTTAAGGACTGGGCCAACTTGGGGCATTTAAGTAATTGTTGGAAGTGATGCAGAAAAAAGTAACCCAAAATATAATGAAGTTTCTTCATAGAATAGCTTTCTTACAAGGACACCAAGAAACATTCCGTTATTTGAGCTTTTTTAAACAGAAAGCAACCCAGATAACTAACAAGAGATGCATTGGAGGCCAGATTCTCAACCATCTTTCTGTTCATTCAAAGGCAGATTGAAATTTGTTCCTGGTTCTCCACCCTCCCAATGTTTAGCACAGGAAATGCAGAAAAGTGGTTGGTTTTTGTGACATTAAAAAAACAACAACAGAATGGTCCAACATTTCCAGGAAAGTTATGTCATTATAAAAGGACAAAACCCACCCAATTCCACAGAATTCAGCAGAAGGGTGTTCAAATTACAGTAAACTCCTTTACAAACTGGGTTATTAGCTTTACGGAATTTCACCAGAATGGAAGAAATGTAACTTTACCCAATATAGGGATTTAAAGGGTTTCTTTAAATCATAGGAAAGGCTTCCTCCGTCCAGATTTTGGTACCTTCCCAGGGATTTTTTCCCAGTAACATTCTACACTCAATCGGTGTGGTGTCACTATTTATTGTACCACCACCAGCCATTCTCTATCAGTGGAGCCCAAACGGGACCGAGATACAGATAAGAGAGTTACCTACAAAGTTATAAAGAGGCAAAATGTTTAAACCCAAAGGAAGATGACAGACACACACACAAGAATGCATTTTTTTGGCATTATTTACATGGTTGGGGAAAAAAAAAACGACAACGAACGATCGGCAGGAAGAACAAATGAGCGAGAAAGAAGAATTTTCCAAGAGCAGGTCAAAAAGGTCAAATCGAAAGAGCAGAAGACGCTGTGAAAAGAAATGAAGAGAAGAAGAAGAAAGGAAGGAAAATGGAAGGAGCTAAATGAAGTATAATCAAGAGAGACCAAGAATGAGACAAGCACTAATCAGTTGGCTCTTTGCATCAGATTGCTACCACAATAGAAAAAGGAACTCAACAGGAAAGTGTGACAGCAGCAACAATGACTAGGTGTCAATTCCTCATAATCTCAGTCTACCCAGTCACAACATTCAGTATTTGATGAAGACGCTATCAACAATGGATCCAATTTTCCTTTCTCCCACCAGGAGTTTCTACATCAATTGTCAACAGATGAGAAAAATAACCCAGAAAAGCAACCATTCTGCTTGCATTGATAATGTCTTGTGCTTTTCGGTATTCTGGAACCGCAAATCAAAAGCAGGAATCTCACTCTATTCTTTTCTCAAGTGAGTTTCAAACCCATCCTAAGTTTCCCCACTCTATGATTGGAACAAAGAAGAGGTGGATATTCAGCAGGTTCTGACCAGTTCTGGAGAACCAGTAGCGGAAATTTTGAATAGTTCGGAGAAGTGGCAAATGCCACGTCTGACTGGCCCCGCCCCCATCCATTCCCCGCCTCCTGAGTCCCAGTTAATTGGCTGGGTCTTCTTTTGTTACTTTGCACAGGAGAATGGAGCGGGAAAGCAGGTTAGTGGGGTGGGGAGGGGATGGAGATTT